CCTTGGCCCGGGCTGCGTGATCCCGGGGAGGCGCGCGGTGAGCGCGGGCTTACAGGGCGAAGGCGCAACGCGATTTAGTTCCCACAGTGGTCACGAACTCGCCACTCCAACCGTTAGGGGTGTTCCAAAAGGGGGCTAGGACCCTCGCCTACGCCTTCGGATGCCTAGGCCCCCTGCTCCGGAGCCGAGCCGGGTGTGGGTTTCGGGAAAACCCGGGGCTTCAAGCGCTCACAGTGGGCGCTTGGGTGCGCGGTCGACATGGCCTCGGCCCTAGTGCTGGGGGTCCCGCCCGGTGGAGGAACTCCCATCCCGGCCCTCAGACACCGCGAGGATCGGCTGCGGGCCCAGCGGCTGTGGCCCCGTCTGCTCCTCCGCGCGGGGGCGGGGAGGGCAGCGCAGGTGTGAAGGGTCAGTTTCCCCGCCTCAGGCCTGCGGGGAACAGCTTTTCCCAATCCCCCGAGGAAAGAGAGAGAGAGAGAGAGAGAGAGAGAGAGAGAGAGAGAGAGAGAGAGAGAGAGAGAGAGAGAGAGAACTATCCTTCACGCTTCAGGTTGGCGGTTTTGTTTCTGTTACTTTGAGGGTGGGGGACAAAAAGCAAAACTTTCTACATAAGAATGTCGCAGCACACAGAGTCCTGAAAAGTGTTTCTTCTTCAGGGAGCTTTAGAAAAAACCCCCCGTCTCGCTGTCTGCATGGTCAAGGAGCAGAAGAATGAAACCAAAGACTTTTATTTTATAAACCACTTGATCTTTGCTTGGGAAACTCTATTAATTGAATGGGTTTGCCTTTTTTTGCCAGTCCCCTTTATCGTTATTTATGGGCTTTAAATTGTTTAAAGTTCCCTTGACGTTCAATTTACAAGTTTGGGGACTTTTTTTGTTCTGCCTTTTGTCCTGGAGAAAGACATCGTGTTGGAAGTGCTTTGAAAAGCCAAACATGAGAGGCCGGCGGTGAAAGGGAGCGGGCGCGATCCCTTTTAATTCCGTCCTGTTGCTGAATGGCTCTTTTACATAATTGCGGGAGCTATTTCAAAGCCGGCCAAGGGCTGACTTCACTTAGAACCACATGGAGTCTATTTTGGGCTTTCAGATTAAAAAAAAAAAAAAAGCTGAATAAAATAGTTTTAAAAAAATGAGGCTTCAGTGCTTTCTGCTACTTGCAAATTGGTGTGTCTGATGGAGAATTTTACACAAGCCCCTCTTTGTAAGCGCGTCTTGGGCCGGGTGGGGGGACTGTCCTGGGTTAGCTGGGTGTGAATCCCAATTGCCCTTCCATAAATAAAACCCATCCCAAGCTATTTCCCAACTATTGCCAGGAGCAAGAGCCGCGGCAATGACCGAATGATCGGGCCTCTGGAAGACTCTATAAATAAAAACAACTCGGTTACCGGAGGAACCGGCGCGGCTGCCTGGCTCCGGACGCCGGCGAGCGCTCCGCCCGGCGAGGCCCACGGGTTGCTCCACACCCCCGAGACTTCGGGGCTCCCACGCCGCCCCCTCCCCACGCCCACCCGCGACCTCGCCCCTGGCGGTCGCGGAGGTCCCTCCTCTGGGCTGGCCTCCGTGGGCCCACTTCGTGTGGTCAGCACTTTACTGGGGCTGCGCACACCTGCAGGCCACCGGGGGCTGCCTGGGACAGGCCCGGGGCGCGGAGACAACTTAATTACCTTCCCTTTTACTGACCTCTGAGGTTTTAAGTTGCTTAATGCGATCTTGACACCAGCTTGGCACCCGCCGAGGACAGTGCCCCGGAGCTGGGCCAACTTCCACCCCGAGGGAAGTTCTCTGGGGAAAAAAAAAAAAAGTTCTCGGAAACTAACTGGAGGACCCAGCTCTCCCTTCCGTGCGTCCTGCGTTCTTCCTATTGGGAGGGGTGGGGAGGGGGTCTTGGAGTGTAGGATCTGTTCCAGGTGCTTCCCCGGCGCCACCAAGGCCGGCCGAGGCGCTCAGACCCTGCGGGGCGAGGCAGCTGCGCGCCAGGCAGGTAGGGATCCAAAGGCTGGTGAGACCAGTACCTGTCGCTCGCTGCCCATAAATCTCCCCGAGAAGCCGAGGAAAAACTCTAAAGGCTTTTATTACCCGCAGTCCCCACGCTCCGAGCGCGGCGCAGGTAGCGGAGGCGCCCGGAATGAATCTTGTTAATCACTGAGAAACACAAGGACCCTTTTATGACGCGAACAGTAGTTTTCTAAGCAGTTAAGCATCCGATGAGAAAATATTACTGCATTGCACTCGAGAAAAAGCACACTAGTAAATAAAATTCATATTGATGAGAATTCTCTGAGCTCACTAATAAAAGAAGATTAGTATTACAACCCCTGCAGTCAATACTTTGCATGGCAATTTATGGATGCAAATAATATGCCATCAAATTATTTCAAGTGTAGCTATAATTCAACGGACCTAAATCTTCTTGCTGAACTTTAAATTTGGAATTATCATCAAAATAATCAAAGGGTTACCTGGCTCTCAGAGGGTAAGCGGGCGACGGAAGTCCCTAGAACAATATTTTTACAGCGAAACAGCAACATGGACGGCGACCCTGGCTGGGTGAGACGCCTGGCAGCCCGCACAGGCGGGCCAGCGTCAGGCAGCGCGGGGACCGGGCTGTGGCAACGTAAATCAAGCCAGGAGCCGGGGGTTCTTTCCTAGTATTCAAAAAAACAAGTTCACCGGACCCCAGCCCGTGTGACTGTAACTATCTCATAATGAGAGGGAGTATTTATTATGCTCATAAAGAAATCAGCCTTTTGCCCTGGGCTTCCATTCTTTTTCCTTTTCCTTTTCTTCTCTGTCTTCTTTTGTAGGAGTGCAGGAAGAGGGGTAGAGCTCAGGGACCCGCCCCACAAACACCTCCTTCCCCGTGGACCCCAACGGGAACTCATTTCCCTGCACCGCGCCAGCCGCCTCCAGGTCCTGGCGCAAAGGGAGTAGAGGCGACACGGGCAGCGACCTAATGAATTCTTTTCACTCCGCCTGCTGCCGCGGCCCTCCATTACTGCGGCCTGCGGTGGGCAGCCGCGCTCCAGACGGCTTTGTCCGGGGGTGGGAAGGAGGGGTGGGAAGGCGAGGAGGAGGCCGAGGGCTGGCGCGGGGCCCGCCTTTTCTCGGCACCCTACCCTTTCCCCTCCAGGACCGTTCGGGTGGGCAGCGGGTCTCTGGCCAGACCGGGGGTGAGGAGGAGGTCTGGGATTAAGACGTCCGCGGGGAGCCTTGGGGTGAGAGCGAGAGAAAGAGGAAGAGAAAAGGGAGCTTCAAAGAATCGAGTCGATAAATTCATAAAGATCGATTTATCTTTATCTCCCAATTAAATGTGCTTGTAAGTGATACATAACGCACGTCCAACACGGGCCAACTCCCCAACCACTAGACCCTCCGCGTGAGCTGATTGTTAATGGCCGGTGGACAATGCCCATTGCTCCTCTCCTCCGGAGCGCGGAGCTTCAACGTCTGGACCCGGGAAGTTGGAGCTGAGGCCCTGGAGGCGCGTGGAAACCCCGCGCGCGCCGGCGCGCTTTGCACGGTCTACCCTTGAGATGAAATGATTTTATTTTTAAAGGGACCACAAGAGCTGAAAGTTTTGTTTTTATCCTGGAAAAGGGGATAAGAACATTCCTAGCGCCCCCCTCTCCCCGCCAATTCTCTTACTCCCAGATTCTGGGGTTTTACCATCGTCCAGAGGAGAGAAACATCTGGAGGGAGTCGGCTCCATCCTGCAGGAGGCAAAGGGCAGCCGCGCGCCCTCCAGTCCTCAAGCTGGAAACCAGGCGGCGGCGCCAGGGTGAGCGCTCCCTCGGTTCTCAACGTGCTTAATTAGCGCCTATTTACAAAACGCAGCTTTTATTTGAGCAAACATCATAAAGCTTTCATCAGGATAATCTCACGTTATACAATCTGGGGGCACAGCAACTCCCCCCTTCCTCCCCGAGGATGGAGGAGATAAAGGACTCGCTTTATTATCATAATTATCGTGGCTGTTATTTTGGTGCGCCGAGGCAAATAGGTGCGATGATTAAGAATGTCATGAAAAATGAGAAAGGATCGCTCACGGGAGGGCCTAGCTCGGGATGGGGGAACCAGCAGCCTCCCTGCCCGCCACGCCGGTTGCTCCTCAAGGAGCAACCCCGCAGGTACCCCGCGGCGGGCAGGCGCTGCCAGCTCCGGGCCAGAGCCCTAGGGGCGGGTCTGAAGCTGCAGGACCCTGCCCCCAACTCTGGGAACCCGGCCGGGACCCAGCAGTGGCAGCACCCAGAGCTAGGGTGAGCCGAGAGCAGGTTTGTTCTGATGCAGAGAATCGCGGCGGGCCCTAGCCCCAGAAGCTGCCTTTGGAGGCGGCCTCTATGGGGCTGCCGGGCGCCGGATTCGGGCCTTGAGGGTGTCAGCAGCCCCTTTCAAGTTTGCGCGGCACTGCCGGTTCGGGCTCCGGGGCCCGCGCGCTCCGCTGGAGGCGCCTGCAGCTCGCTAGCCGCCTGCCCGGGAGGAGGGGGCGGGGCTCCGCCTTCCCCCGCCCCTTCTAGCGCAGCCAATAGGTGGCGGCGCCCGGCCCCACGTGAGGAGACCTCGGCCGGGTAGCTGGCAAAATGTGAATGAGAAAGAGGAGCGCGATTTAAAGGTGCTGGCGGCGCCCGCCGAAGACAAGTGCGCCAGCTTCGCCCGCTCCCCAGCGGCCCGCCGGAGGCTACGGACTGCGGGGCGGACGGACAGACGGTCCAGGGCTGCGAAAGCGACGCGCGCAGGCTCCTACCCGCAGGCGGCGGGCAGCGGCTCCAGCCAGTCCGCGGAGCCCGGGCGCCCTCTCCGCTCCGGGGCGCACGACCTCATCCCGCCTGCCACCCGCAACCGTTGGGCATGCAGCGGGCCCAGGACTGAGGGGCAGCGGCGTTTGCTCTCCGACTACCGCTCCGCCGCTGCCCGACTGTGCTCCAGGTGCCCGGCGGGCTTCCTGGCGGCGGCGCGGCGCAGAGACTTTTCGCCTCTCCTCGGCCTCTCCCGAGCGCGTCTATGAGCGCAGCGTTCCCGCCGTCGCTGATGATGATGCAGCGCCCGCTGGGGAGTAGTACCGCCTTCAGCATAGACTCGCTGATCGGCAGCCCGCCGCAGCCCAGCCCCGGCCATTTCGTCTACACCGGCTACCCCATGTTTATGCCCTACCGGCCGGTGGTGCTGCCACCCCCGCCGCCGCCTCCGCCCGCGCTGCCCCAGGCCGCGCTGCAGCCCGCGCTGCCTCCCGCGCACCCTCACCACCAGATCCCCAGCTTGCCCACCGGCTTCTGCTCCAGCTTGGCGCAGGGCATGGCGCTCACCTCTACGCTCATGGCCACGCTGCCCGGAGGCTTCTCCGCGTCTCCCCAGCACCAGGAGGCGGCGGCCTCCCGTAAGTTCGCGCCTCAGCCACTGCCGGGCGGCGGCAACTTCGACAAGGCGGAGGCGCTGCAAGCTGACGCTGAGGACGGCAAAGGCTTCCTGGCCAAGGAGGGCTCGCTGCTCGCCTTCTCGGCGGCGGAGGCGGTGCAGGCATCTCTCGGTGAGTCGGCAGCGCGCGCAACCCGGGCGCGAGTGCGGAAGGAGGCGGGGGCGAGCCAGCTCCGAGTTCCCGCTGGGGCCGAGGGGGAGAGGCCGAGCCCCCGCCAGACCCTCGCCCTACCTACCTACCCACCCCACCCCCCCTCCCCCTCCTGGAGAGCGGGAGGCAGCGGCCCAGTTGAGCCGCGGGGACCCCGGGGAGCTTTTAGAGCAATGCAATAAGCACAGCCCCTGGATTGGGCTTGGGTGGGGGCGCATTTAGCTCCCATCTGGCTGTAAGTTTGACGAAGCCTCCCCTCGCCCGTGCCCCCTCCCCTGAACAGGTCCCGGGTCGGTTTCAGCCGTAAGGGCGGTTTGGGCTCCGCGTCTCCACAGGGCTGGTTCCTGGGGCGCCCAGACCCACCTATTCAGCCCCTTCACGGGGCTTGCTGCTCGCCCGGGAGGGTCGGACTCCCCAGAGGCTGTGCATCTGCGTGTGTGTGAACTTTTCCTTAGGCTACCAAACTTAAGCTACCTTTGACCAACATTATCTGCTTCAAAAAACAAAAACAAAAACAAAACAAAAGATGACCTGGCATTCTCACTTCCCTGAGCCCCCACTCTGGCTGAGACGAAATGGAGCTTCATAAAATTCCACTTTAGGGGCAGGATCGTGAACTCCCCGTCCGTCCTCGCCCAGCTTCCACCCTGGGGCCAAAGAGGACGCTCTCTGGGGCCTCATTCCTCCGGTGACTTCGCCTTAAGCTGGGGAGGCAGGGAGGGTGCAGAGGCCGCAAGTCCAGCCCCTTGAGTGATGGCTCCGGGCAAAGGGCCTTTGCCAGTGCTGTCCCCTCCTCTCCTTTGAGCTTTCTCACGGATCTCCGAAGGCCAGGACATTACAATGTGTTAATGTCACAGAAAGACAATTCGCTAAGGGAGAAAACGGCGAGGCACCGTGGGAAGGGAGAGGCACAGGCCGGTGGGCGCAGTGTAATAAAACACCGTTTGGTTTTGCTTTCAGTCGGGGCTGTCAGAGGGCAAGGGAAAGACGAGTCAAAGGTGGAAGACGACCCGAAGGGCAAGGAGGAGAGTTTCTCGCTGGAGAGCGATCTGGACTACAGCTCGGATGACAATCTTCCTGGCCAGGCGGCTCACAAGGAGGAAGACCCGGGCCACGCGCTGGAGGAGCCCCCGCCCAGCGGCGGCGCGGCGGGCAGCACCACGTCCACCGGCAAGAACCGGCGGAGGCGGACTGCCTTCACCAGCGAGCAGCTCCTGGAGCTGGAGAAGGAATTCCACTGCAAAAAGTACCTGTCGCTGACCGAGCGCTCGCAGATCGCCCACGCCCTCAAACTCAGCGAGGTGCAGGTGAAAATCTGGTTCCAGAACCGCAGGGCCAAGTGGAAACGGGTGAAGGCAGGCAATGCCAACTCCAAGACAGGGGAGCCCTCCCGGAACCCCAAGATCGTCGTCCCCATCCCCGTCCACGTCAGCAGGTTCGCCATTAGAAGTCAGCATCAGCAGCTGGAGCAGGCCCGGCCCTGAGGGCCCAGGGAGGACCAGGGCCTGCGCCACCATGTCCCTGCTGGAGGGGACCGGGGGTGCGTTGCGCCTGGTTGGGAGCAAAACTCCGTCGCCCCCACCTTTGGACATCCCAAGCAAATTCAGAGCATATCCATTAAACAGGCGTGAAAAGACTGCTTTCGAAGGGGCCACCGTGACAGCTGCAGACGCACTAAATATTTATTACCCTGCCCGACACTGTACGTAGATGTCTACACGAACGAGGGTTTCGGCTGCACTGGTTTGAAAGTTACGGGCCAAACCGCCCAGTCATGCTCTCCACTCACGTTCCGGAAGAAAACAGACCCTCCGAGCGACCGCCACCCATAGCAGCCACCTGCCCGTACTTTTCCAAAGGTAAACACGACCTGCAAGAACACAGGCCGGGCTGGCACTTCTTTTTGTTTCTGTTCTGGCTTTTTCAGTGGACGGAGGAGCCGATGCGTGGGGGCAGCCTGGAAATTGCTTTGCTCCGGCCCTGCCTGGCTTCCTCTCCTGGGGTTGGGCGCCCTCTCTGAGCCATGTCTGAAGCACGTCTCTGTTGCATTTAATTTATTTCAATGTAGCTTATTTTCGTATAACTTATGACATTTACACAGTCCCAGTCTTGTGAATAATAAAAGGAGAGAGAGGGAGAAAGAAAAAAAAAAAAAGACCGAAGGCTGGGTCTCGTGAGTGTGTCCAGATTCGGCTGGTGGGAGGGCCGCTGGTCTGAGACCTGTGCCGCGTGAACCTCCCCGGGCCAGTTCTCGGGCCGGCCGGAGGTCGGCCGGAAGGCACCCACCAGGTTGTCCATTGGAGAGCAAGAGCTCCAAATGGGTGAGAAAATTTAAGGAAACCAGTTTTTCTCCTTAGAAGCCTAACATCCCCCCTTTTACGCAGCCTGTCCAGTACTTCCGAGGCTGGTGCTGGAAGGAGGGAAAGCCGGTGAGTGCGGGTACGGGGGGGCTTTGCCCAAACCCCCCATGTGCTAAATGGACTCGGGCCAGGGGAGGAAATGCTTTTCCGCACAAAAACGCCGGAAAGAAGTGGCGCTTGCTCACGGGGCAGGGCCAAGCGCCCGTAAATCAGGCCGAGGGGCACCTTCCGGCAGATGCGGGAGCCCTGCCAGCCAGGCTGGGCTTCGGGGCAGCGCTCCGCAGCGCTGGGCTCCCAGGCCGAGGCAGGTTGGGAGCACCCGCGGGTCCAGCACCTCCCTTCCGGGTGGGGTCAAGGGGGTGGGACGGACCACTGACCCTCCTCGAGGGTGCTGGGGTGGTCATCAGCACAAAGTGGGGAGGGGAGAGGACTGCAGGCGGGCTGGGGCAGGTCCGGGGTGGGTACTTGGGAGTTGGCCGCTAACTGGGCCGGGAGGGGTGTGCCTGCCTGCTCCGCCCCACGCCTACCACACCCGGAGCCTGGCCCCATTCCGCTGGCTCCTTTCCTGCCCCTGACCAGACGCGAGCACCCAGGCCCCTGGAGAGACTGTCGTGGACAGGACACGGGTGACCCAGGGGCATGGAGAGGGTGAGCGCGGTGCCCGAGGCCTGAAAGGCTGCAAACAAGCAGGCCAAAGAATGAAGAGAAGCGGGCAGCTCCTCCAACTTCAGCCTCCGGAATGGAGGCCAGGGAGAGGGTTGCAGAAGGCGTGCACAGCACTCACCACGGTTCTGAGCCCCAGAAGGGGAAATGTGTCGCCGGTGGGTCGATACTAACATTGACTTAATTTATGTGGCTTGAAACAGGTCACCTCCCCGCAGTGGAGGCGTCTGGGGACCCAGGCTCACTGCCCAACTTCAGGTGAAAGGAGAGGGCCAGGTGCAACTGAGTGGCTGTTTCCCGCGTGTTTCCAAGATTTCCCTCGGTGGTGAATGGCCCAGAAGTGGGGTTTGAGCACAGTGAAATGGGCTGGCTGGTCCTCCAAGGGCCTCGGTGGAGGCTGGGGTGCTGGAGTGCAGAGAGCTGCAGAGGCTCCTGCTGCCCCCCACCCAGCCCCCTGAGGCCTGTAGGTGGTGGGTGCCCCGGGTCCCTGCCTGCCCCGCAGGAGACCCACAAGGCCCCGACTCTGAGCGCATCCGGGTCGCCGGCTGGCTCATCTGCTTCGGGCAGGTCTCCACTACTGGCCACTTCCACAGCAATCGAGACCTGAGGGGACACCCCTCCCCCCATGCAGCTGGGCCAGGCAGTCCCCAGCCGGAAATGCGACCCGCACAGAACTGTGGCTTGTGGCTGTAGCTTATGCTGACATAGGACCTGGAGAGCTGCACCCTCCCTGGTGGGGGCGCCCCCACCCAACATTCCGCTTTTGGGGGAGGAACCCTGGGTGCTGAAAGCAGGGCGCTCTTACAGACCCTGAGTGCCCCCCCCACCCCTCCACCACGACAGGTGTAGCCCCTACCCTCCTCCAAAGGACAGTGGCAGGGCTGGAAGGCACAAAGAGGCACCAAGCCAGGGCTACACAAACCCCACGGGAAGGCGAGCTCCCTAGGAATGGGGGGCCGCCTTCAGGAGCCCCACCCTGGGGCCCAACTCCCCAGCTGTGTGACCCTCACCCCTTGGAAGCACGAGGAGGAACAGGCCGGGGGCTCCGAGGGCCCTCCCGCCCCCTCGGCCCAAACCCGTGACTGCTGGGGCGCCCCGAGAGCCCATCTTGGAGGCCGGGGCCGAGAGGCAGACCAGGGAAGATAAACAAGCGGCACTTGATGGCCGCTGTCCTCACGGCCGTCATCATGGCTTTCATTCGGCTGCCTAATGAGTCACATCACAGGCAGAGAGAAAAATTGTCAATCGCCCGGGCCCTAATGAATTTTTTTGCAAATTGTAATCAAGCCAGGCCGTCTCAGCTGGCTGATTAATGAGACCCACGAGGCTCGGCCAGCACCTCCGCTTTTTATTCCATCCCGTCCTCCCTGCACTAAATTAACAGCAACTTGTCTGAGCTTCAAATTAACTCCCAATGATTAATTCTGATGGGGGGGCCTGAAGAATAGCTTGTTCTAATAGGCCCTGGCCTGAGATGCTGTTGGAAATTAATACACTTCCCCTTTGGCTGCCGGCTTTAATCCAAGGTTGGGTTTTGACATCACTATATTTGTTGTTACAATAAATTCCACTTACATCTGCAGATCAGATAATTACGCTTGGGAGCACCCCTGGGCCTTCATCCCCCCCCCCCCCCCCAGCGCTGTGCACTAGGGCCCTCTGGCCCGCTCCCACCCGTGTTTACAAACCCAAGCAGGGGTTCCAGTCCCCACCCCCACCACGCTGGAACAGCTGCGGGCGACCCTCTGCCCTAGCTCCCCTCCCCCCACCCTTTGGAGAACAGAGGGCACTTTGAAAACCAGCAGCCCCATCTTCACCTTCCCGGCCGGCCCTCTTTAGATCCGTCTGGGGCCCCTCCCCCAGCTCCCTGCACGGGGGAGGAGTACCCCTAGGAGGGGCCTGGGTCACCGGTTCTGGAACCTTCCCCAAGTCCGTCCCAGCCGGAATTTTGGAGGCCAGTACGGGCTTCCTCACCAAGCTTCGCCCCCTTGTTTTTGGCCCCAGGGGGGATTTTTCTCAGGGCCTTTTCAGCTAAATGGTGCGCGCGCGCGTCCTTTGGAGCCGGGGTTGCCTTGGAGGACCAGCGGATTAGAACCCGGCTGTCTGCGCCAAGCCGCCCCACCCCGTGTGTAGCTGACACCGACACCTGCATGACAGGACGCACTTTCTCGCGGGGCGGTGTCCGCTCGGGCTTAAGACCGTTGGTTCTGTCTGTTCTATCTGTTCAGACTTGATTAGCTTCCTCGTTTCAGCTGCATCAGGCGAGCCTAGCAGAGGGCCTCCGTGCCTGCTCCCTCCAGCGCCCTGCCTGTCCCAACGGGGCCACTCGATCCCCCTTGGCAGGGGGTTCCGGACGTGCCGGAAGCCAGGAGGGACACTCTGGCAGCCTCGGGATCTGGGCAGCACCTGGTTCCGGCCTCGGGGCCTTCCCAGTTCCTTGTGGGCAGTCAGAAGTGCCTGCCCCTTGGGTGTGCATTTGGCGGCCTTGGCGCAGACTCTGTCCTGGGAGACTTGGGTGTCCAGGCAGCCAAGGATCCATGTTGGGAAGAAGGCTCCTATGCACGTGCACCTCTTTCTGTCCCCGGGGAACTCGGGCCTCTGTTCAGGTGTGCAGGTGGCCTGCTTGGACCTCCGGTGCGCCAGGGCTTCCCGGAAGACCCCCGCGTGGCACAGCCTCCTCCCCTCAAACTGGGCGCCGGGGTTGAGGGGGGAAGCTGCTGCTGGGGGTCTACTGGAGCGTCCTGGGCGACGGGAGCAGGCATCCATCTTCATTTCGGGCCCTTATGGTGCAAACAGGAGAAATATGGTCTTTGTAACCAAACATGAATGCAAATGGCGCTGTGTGAGTAATAAAGCACCTGAAACCTCGGCACACAAAAGCAACACCATATGTATGAAGACAACCTGCATACATTATAAATTACATCATAAAATTGATTGCCTACTTGAGCAGTTCGGAAGTGAGAGACTCCCGTCCTCCGTGGCTTTGCCGAAAGGTCAGGAAGCGCCTTACCTCCAGGGGCCTCAAGTGGGAACCCCTGGGCTGAGAGCACCACGCAGGCATTCGGCCCCGCGAGGTGGCACTGGGGGCTGCTGGCTCCGCCACAGGATAGGCGGGCCGGCCCCCAGAGGAGCCCCGCGAGGCCTAGTGCCGACTAGGCGCCAGGTGCTGCTGCCCCGAAGACGCTCGGGTTTCTAGCTCGGGCCAACGGTCCTCCAGTGCATCCCTTCCCCGGGAGCTGGCCGTGCGGTGAGCAGGGGTTTGCGCGTGAGTGTCGGTGTGTGTGCCATCCCCCTTGCGCCTGGCCCTGCTGGGCCCAGGGCCTCTGCTCTCCTGGATCCCGCGCAGCCCAGTCCGATCCCCCTGGAGGAGCCGGAAGCGCCGGCCGCAGGGCCCAGCACGACGGAGCTCGGGAGCCTGCGCCTCCGGCTCGACCCTCCCACTGCACCTCCCTTAGCTG